CGGGGGGGGGTCTTCACCATGACCCCCCCATTGCCTCCCCAAGTGGTGGGAGACCCCAGTGTGGTGGGGGTGAGAGGGGTGATGGGGATTTTGGGGACTGAGACCTGATGTCTTCGCCCCACGGGTGGCTCCGGCCCCTCACCTGATGTTGAGGTCCAGCAGGATCTGCTTCTTGTGGGCACCGGGGTGAGCCCGGACCCCCAGGACCCGGAGAGGCTGCGAGGGGGGGTGGGCAGCGGTGAGTGGGGGGGTGGGATTGATGGAGGGGGGCAATGGGGGCACCCCCCCGCCCCGAGGGGAGCCCTACCTTCTCGCCCATGTCCACCTTGGTGAAGGTGAAGGTCTGGAGGTGGGTGTTGGAGGCGCGGATGGCCGGGGCGATGTTCTCCACCAGCAGCTTCTCCATGTACTGCCCGAAAAAGGGCCAGGCCTGGGCCAGGACCTGCGGCAGCCGGATGGAGGGACAGATGGACAGAGGGATGGAGGGATGGATGGACAGAGGGATGGATGGAGGGACAGATGGACAGATGGACAGAGGGATGGATGGAGGGACGGATGGACAGAGGGATGGACGGATGGATGGAGGGACGGATGGAGGGGTGGAGAGACAGAGGAACGAAGGGATGGATGGATGGATGGAGGGATGGATGGATGGATGGAGGGACAGATGGAGGGACAGATGGAGGGGTGGAGAGACAGAGGGACGAAGGGATGGATGGATGGATGGATGGAGGCAGAGATGGATGGAAGGATGCAGGGAAGGATGTAGGGATCAAGGGAGGGATGCGGGGTTGGAGGGATGGATGAAGGAAGGGAGGGATGCAGGGAAGGATGGAGAGATGGATGGATGCAGGGATGGATGGAGGGACAGCGGGATGGATGGACGGAAGCAGAGATGGATGGAAGGATGCAGAGAGGGATGTGGGGATCAAGGGAGGGATGCGGGGTTGGAGGGATCCGGGGATGGAGTCAGGGATGGAAGGATGGATGGAGGAAGAGAGGGATGCAGGGATGGAAGGATGGATGGAAGGAAGGATGGAGGAAGAGAGGGATGCAGGGATGGAAGGATGGATGGAGGGAAGGATGGAGGAAGAGAGGGATGGAGGGATGCAAGGGATGGAAGGATGGACGTAGGGAAGGATGGAGGGATGCAGGGATGGATGGATGGAGGAAGGGATGCAGGAAGGGATGGAGGGATACAGGGATGGAGTCAGGGATGGAGTCAGGGATGGATGGCTGGAGGAAGAGAGGAATGCAGGGATGGAGAGATGGAGAGAGGGAAGGATGGAGGGATGGAGAGATGGATGGAGGAAGGGATGAAGGGAAGGATGGAGGGATGGATGCAGGAAGGGATGAAGGGATGCAGGGATGGAGTCAGGGATGGAGTCAGGGATGGATGGCTGGAGGAAGAGAGGAATGCAGGGATGCAGGGATGGAGGAAGGAAGGGATGCAGGGATGCAGGAAGGGAAGGATGGAGAGATGGAGGGATGGATGGATGGAGGAAGGGATGGAGGGCTGGATGGGGGAAGGAAGGGATGCAGGGATGGAGGAAGGGAAGGATGGAGTGACGGAGGGAGGGAAGGACAGCCGGACACCTCACCTTGTTCAGCCATTCTGCCCGCTCCACATCCGGGAAGCTCACCTGGGGGGCAGAGGGG